CTACATTCTGGGTAACAACTTTTTTATTTAACAGGATCTGTAACATTTAGGGCGGGCTGGCTGGCTGGTCAGTCTGAATTATAGAAATAATCCCCTCTTGAACTAGTTAACATGTGTTGTATTAGGCAGGTCATAATTTGTGTCATGAAAACTCCAAGGAAACTAACAGTTTGACTTTGACATGTAGGCCTAACTTCAAAGTAAAAGTGGACATTAGCAAATATTGATAGGGCAACGTCTGCATTTTATAATTTTATCACATGAACTTTCTCGGAATTACGAACATTTTCATAAAACTGTTTACGGTTATTACAGTCATTGAAAGTAAAACATTGACCCAGAAGTTGTCTCTCCCGAAACTCTGGAGTGAACTCCCATCACTTTTGTCCTGTTTAGCGTCAAAAAAGAAACAGTTTTGTTTGCGAGCAGGCTCAACTTTAAACCTGCGACTGTTGCAGTATTCAGATCCATTAGAATACAGCTCTTTGATAACCGACCCTTTGAGAATTGCGCTTCGACACGCGTCGTACCAAACGTCACAGAATTCCTCACAAACGGTTAGGCTTTCCAGCATGTAGAAGTTGTTTTGGTTAGGAGCACACACGTAGCACATTAGGTAGTTGGTGTACTTCTGGCAAGCCGGTGACGACCCTCGAAGTGGTTTCACCCTAGGGAAAATCGCATCAATTTCCTCCTGTCGACAGCAGCTGTTCTCTTTAAACCAAGTACAGTTCTTGAGATTTAGCTGAATTTGAGGAGCCCTGTTCGCAAAGAATGAGCAGTACTGCTGCTTGGGTTTTGTGACGATAGCCACGTCTGTATTAGCGCTTGCCTGCGTGAGCAATACCCCCAAGTAAAGGGTGAGGCCGGCGTTGATGAACATGACTTTCTTAAACTACACAACACACCATCGTATTGGGGTCGAGATAATGGCGAGGCCCGTCCTCCACATAGAAACCACTGGCATCATGGACGCATTAATCAATGATGGCGGTTCGTATCGATTTTGCGATCGTTTTTCGTAGCAAGAAAGCGTTAAAAAATCTCATAGAGGTAGTAAAATTACTTCCCTTGACAGATCGATGCTTTAGTTAGTGCAGGCCTGTGCAACATGCGGCCAAACTGCCAACAGCACCCACATTGCGGCCCGTATAAAAAGTCTTTGATGAAAATTCATAATATTATCAACTAAAATAATATACAAAAATCTTCACGAAGTTTCACTAAAAACTTTTAGTGTCCTTGATTTGGAATCACTTGTGTATGTGAACAGACATTTTCAACAATGAACATGTATCAATGCAAGCCACGCCCATGTTTGAGTTAAGATCATTTGGAAGACATCTTGAGAACAGCCACTTCCAATATATGTCCGGAAAACGACAAACTTGTTACCGAAAAACGATGCAATGTGTGTGTGTGTCCCATTGATCACGCTGACGACAAAGTAAATTAAATGTATTTCTTCAGTACCGGGTAACCAACATTTTATCATTATTAGGGTTTCCTCACTGTCCTATTGCCGTTCGCCCCGCTCAAGTTTTTCATTAAGTATTACGGCTTGCCTTGCATTTTGAGTTTTGCAAGCCTGCTTTGGTGCATTTGCTCTAAATGAGACCAAATATTCTTAATTAATTGTAGGCTAAGTTGCAAATCCTTCTTAAAAAATGGTATTTGCGATGCATGTAATTTATAACCTAACACTGCAGACCTTAACAAAGGATTTCATTTTGACGAATAACACAAGGCATGGAAAGAAGTAAGAAGTACGGTAACACTACTTAAGAGGAAACGTGAAAAATAGGACGCAAGAAACGTGTTGGCAAGAAGCATTCGCCAGCGTACAGTACAAACAAAGAATACGATATTTGTTTTCTAAACTTCGATTTAACGTAGTGCCCCAGAGAACCTTCCTTTTATTTTTATATTTATAGGCTTGCCTGAACATGTGGCTAAGATTGCTAAGCCAACGATGACTTCATATCATTTTGGGTGGATCTTATTATTAAGGTGGTGTTATATAGCGCAATACCCCAGCCTAGGGCTAGGCTTACTGCAATACCCCAGCCTAGGGCTAGGCTCAATGCGCTTATATAAAAATTAGCAAAACAAGCAGGAAAATCATACATTAAAATTTAAAAACCATTGGTAAAAAGTTTAACCTCACCCACCCAAATAGTATCTACCCCTGTCCAGCCATGGACAGCACCCACCCAAGCAGTATTTACCCCTGTCTGGCCATGGACAGCACCCACTCAAGTAATATCTACTCCTGTCTAGCCATGGACAGCACCCACCCAAGCAGTATTTACCCCTGTCTGGCCATGGACAGCACCCACCCAAGTAGTATCTACCCTTGTCTAGCCATGGACAGCCCCCACCCAAGTAGTATCTACCCCTGTCTAGCACCCACCCAAGTAGTATCTACCCCTGTCTAGCATCCAGCCAAGTAGTATCTACCATTGTCTAGCCATGGATAGATCATAGTACCCACCCAAGTAGTATCTACCCCTGTCTAGCCATGGACAACACCCAACATTGGAGGTGAGAAAGAGTCGGTATAGTAGAGCTTGAAGAAATTGGTCTTGGGGGCAGTTTTGAAGGCTGGGATGGTTGGTATATTGTGGATCTGTGATGGGAGAGAATTCCATTGTTTTTGGGTAAAGAAAGAGAAAGATCGTTCACCAATTTCAGCAAAAGACAATGCAAAGCACTCTTTAAAAAAAAAAAAAACACCTCAAATCTATGTAAGACACTCTATGACGTATGAACATGCAAAAGAATTTGATGAAAGAAACCAATCAAAAAACGGGTCGGTCACATAGGGGCTTACATCCTGTATTGTAAACCTCATCATTTCTTACTTTGAGGTCAAGTACAAGAATTTTATTATATCAACTTTCTTCTACAATCATAATCTCCTGTTCCTGTCGTTCCGGTGAGTTACCCACGTCGTGCCATGAATCAGCGAGTTACTATGTACTGCCTTGTATCAAGTTACCTACGTCCTGAATTATGTTACCCACGTCCTACCTTGTATCAGCGAGTTACCTACGTCCTGCTCCGTAACAAGTTACCTACAACCCGTACTGCATCAACTTACCTAGGTTCTGTCCTGTATCAAGTTACCTACGTCATGTCCTGTATCAAGTTACCTACGCCCTGCATCAAGCTACCTACGTCATGTCCTGTATCAAGTTACCTATGTCATGTCCTGTATCAAGTTACCAACGCCCTGCCCTGTATCAAGCTACCTACGTCATGTCCTGTATCAAGTTACATCGGGAACCTAATGAAGTCTGGCTCACAAAGTGAAAGGGATCACACCGGGATCAGGATCCCAATGAGAAAGGGGTCACAGGGGGATCCGGATCCCATCATGATATGGGATAATTTTCAAAACAGGATCCCATTGGGACATGGGATACCATTTAGATTTGGGATCTCATTGGTATCAGGATCACATTAGAGAACCCACGGGATCAGGATCCCATCGAGATCATGATTTAATGGGGATTGGGATCACATTGGGGTGGGTATCCAATGTAGATCGGGATATGGATCAAATACTGGGAATTATGATTACTACAGGGAAAAGATTCACCGGGGATCCGTATGGGAATTGAGATCCCTTTGGGGTCGTATTTTATAAATGTGTAAAACTGTTTTATTACAGGCCCCTCAATTTGCATGCTAGCTAAATCAAATAAATGGCTAAAGAAGGATCTCAATCTGTTAGCTGAGTGGGAGATGAACTGGGACATGGAATTTCACCCTGCCAAGTGCCAGACACCAACAGTCTCTAGAAGTTGTACTCCTCTACACTACCAATACGAACTGCACGGCCATATACTTGAGCCAGTTTCCTCCGTAAAGTACCTGGGTGTTACCATTCAAAGAGAGGCCCGCTGGGACGAGCATATTAACAATGTATATAACCAAGCAAACAAGACCCTAGGGTTCTTAAGACGAAATCTAAAGATTGGCAACTCCTGTGTGAAAGAAAGAGCATATAAAGCCTTTATCCGTCCGATTTTAGATTATGCATCTTCAGTCTGGGACCCATTTAGCCAGAAGAGCATTGACAGGTTGGAGGCGGTCCAGCGACGAGCAGCATGATTTGTCCTAAACCACTAAAGGAATACCTCTAGTGTTGGCAGTATGCTGGAAACACTAGGGTGGTCACCATTGGAGAAACGACGACGACAATCCAGGCTCTCCATGATGTACAAGATAAATAATGGGCTGGTCCACTGTTCCAGTATTAAACAGAAACTCGTCCCTCTCCCCCATAGACAGCGACGAGGCCATGACAGGCAATTAGAAGCCAGTATAGGAGCTGCTCATTCCTGCCCAAGACAATCAGGGACTGGAACAATCTTTCAAAAGGAACGGTTGAGGCGACAACACTAGACACATTTGTGTCTATTGCCTCAAGCCTTCAAACCCCTAGTGCATGATTCCCTCACAAAGTGGCACTGGAAATCTGTGAAATTTCCTCATAACACCAGGAACAGAAACATTGTAAATCCCATCTACATGCATAGGAGCCAAAATGATAAATAAGTTGATCGTGGGCCCTTAAGATATAGAAGAAGAAGAAGTAAAAGTTTTTTTCCCGAATGCAATCCCGGGCTAGGTCTGTACATTGGCTAGTAATGTCTTAAGTTTAAACTTCTAAATCTTAATCTTCCCCACTGTAACAATATACACCTTGATTTTTACTGTAACAATATACACCTTGATTTTTACTGTAACAATATACACCTTGATTTTTACTGTCTAATATACACCTTTTTCTTTCCTGTCCCATGTACACCATCTTTTTTGTACAACATAACCTAGATCTGCCTTGTCCAATAAAAACTGTAATTCTTTTGATCCAGCCACATTGCCAACGAGCCATCATGAGGAGATCCTAGTGTTTGTCAAGCTCCCACATTTTACAACAGAGTTAATGCATGATGGGATTAGATGATTATTTTAACAGTTTTTATTTTCACACACATCTTTCTAGCGATCTGAAAATGGAGGATTTGTCAACACAATATTTTATTTATATAATTTACATATTGAGTAATTGGTGTTATTCATAAAGTAACAAAATGTAAATTGATTATGTGACATGTTGATATAATCATTGTCCCATGGTTACAGTTACAAAGATAATCTTTTGACAGGATTTTGAGTTGGCAAAACTAAACATTAACATTGGTAAACCTAACATTAAAATTGGCAAACGTAACATTAAAATTGGCAAACGTGACATTAACATTGGCAAACCTAACATTAACATTGGTAACTCCTTGACAAGACTTGACTTATTTAACACAAGTCTTAATGTTCGTGTGGAATTTATCATTAAGACTTATTTAACACAAGTCTTAATGATCGTGTGGAATTTATCATTAATAAAATAATTCTAAATTCAAGAGCATTTTAAGTTCTCACTAATTTATAAGGAGCTTTTGGAATCAAGATGTCACAATCAATCATAGTCGTCACAATCAATCATAGTCATCACAATCAATCATAGTTGTCACAATCAATCAAAGTCATCACAATCAAATCATAGTTGTAACATAAAATGTGCTTTGTCAAGAAACTACAGCAGTATGCTAGATGTGATTTACTGGCAGTACATTAACACAAGTCTTAAATGTTCAAGTTGTGACATTGTATGATAATGCCAGACCTACTGATCAATATGTTAGCCTACATTTCAACACAAGTCTTAAATGTTCACATGGTGACATTGTATTATAAAGTTAGACCTACTGATCAATCAGTTTGCCTACATTACAACACAAGTCCTAATGATGATGTGTACTTTATCATTTATAAAAAAAAAAATTTAAATTCAAGAGCTGATACATTTAAAAATTGAAAGTCATTGATTAGACTTCCCATCAAGGAATTCAAATCTCAAGTCATGACTTCCCATCAAGGAATTCAAATCTCAAGTCATGACTTCCCATCAAGGAATTCAAATCTCAAGTCATGACTTCCCATCAAGGAATTCAAATCTCAAGTCATGACTTCCCATCAAGGAATTTAAATCTCAAGTCATGACCTGCACTCACGTTGCTCTGATTGAAAGAAGATTACAAAATATGTTGTCTTATAATATACTACAATGTTGTTTTGTCCTACAACATACAACATGTTATATTCGTATAATACACTACAATGTTGTGTGGTCTTATAACATACATCATTTTATCGTCTTATAATATACAACAATGTTGTGTGATCTTTTAACATACAACATATTATGGTCTTATAATACACTACAATGTTGTGTGGTCTTGTAACATGCAACAGTGCTGTGCTCTTTCTGTCACCAAACTGTGGCTAAGGCAAATCTTTGTCGATGGCAATCAACTTTTGGATCATGTGATTTATTGCTGACAGTGCCGGGGAGCCTGGGTTGGATTCTAAAAAGTTTTTTCCAGTGTCCAAGCTGAGCGTCAGGTGCCTGTCAATGGGGATGCTTCCTGTGGACAGACAAAGACACTGTCAATCTGCTGTCTAAATGGAATATACAGGACTGATCATATGGCTCAGTGAAATTTATGCTAATGGATCCACACAAAAAAAAACAACAAAAAAACAAACAATGAAATTAATTTTTAAAAATCAAAGTCAACTTGACTTATGATGCTTTTAAATCAAAGCCAACTTGACTTATGATGCTATTAAATCAAAGTCAACTTAACTTACAATGCTTTTAAATCAAAGTCAACTTGATTTACAGTGCTTTTAAATCAAAGTCAACTTGACTTATGATGCTATGATAAGTTGAGATTTTTTGTTGTTGCCATTTTCAAATATAAAACCATCATGGATTGATGACAAACCCAGCAGAAATAAAACCTAACAATGGAATATTCCAACCTACCAAGAAAAGGGACATTATTCTGATGGGCTAAAGCTTTACCTCCACCAGTTGAGAAAATATTTGTGCACTCCTGTCAAAAAGATAAATAACAAAGCATTAAAAATAATTGACATATTCTAGTTACCCACACAAGCTGTGACACATTCCTCTAAATTTAAATGTTTCAAGTTCCAAAGAGTTATTAATAATAAGCTCAAAACGATCCTCGCTTAACACAACTTTTATTTAGTAGAAACTGACAAAAGAGAACATTAAAAAATACTTTATTTCTGGTAAGTATTTGACAAAGCCATTATTGTCCTATCATTGAAACACTGTTTCAAAAACAAAATAAGTTTCAACTTCATTAACCCTCATTAACTGTGGCATGCATCATTCTGTAGTGTGGCAGCTTTTCAGAGCTTTTTGAGTGCCTTTTGAAATTCCATTAAACAACATAGAAGTATTGATGCAAGACCCCCATAAGGATATATTTTTAGAAAGGTAAATGGATGGGGATAAAATTGGCCATATTGCCCATCCAGTATAAACAATTGCTGTGTCCTTGACCTTGGAGTGCTACAGAAAAAAAAAATCAACCAAATATCTTGCTTTCAAGTGCTCATAACATCATTAATTTTTATAGATACACTTAAAAAACTAATCTAAATGTTGAAGCAAATTCATTTATCTTTTAGAAAATGTATAGTTTGCTTAGGTTTTTATAACAATTACATCTCTGAAAGCAATTTTAGTAATTTTTAATATCACTTATAACTGAAAGAAATAAAAAACTGGGACCACAGCTAAAATCAAGTACAACATACAAAATCTCAGGCATAAAAGTTATTATTGACAAGTATACATTTAAAAAGGAACCGTGGAACTGATTTGGGTTGTCTGTCTATAACATTTATTAGTTCTGATCTATAATCTGTAGCTTCTGTGACTAAAATTTAGTCCTTGCCCAACCTCCGGGCCTTGCTCAAAGAAAAACAGTAGGCCTACTTCAGTATCACTAAGACTAGTATAAAATTCATGAGAAATACAATCTGAACTGAGATCGTCATGGGGAATGTTCAAATCATCATCAGTATTACTTAAATCCTCTCCTAAAAAGCTTTCAAACATATTTCTATTAGTTCTTGTACTGAAGGCCCAGCCATGGCTTCAACCATTTTAGCTTTAAAAAAGAACGCGATATAAAACTCCGATTCGAAAGTACTTATTGTTAAGTTATCAACAAACAGCTTGACCCGGAAGATGATTTAATTATTAATAAAAGGAAGTGGTTATAATTCCTGTTAAATATTGGATTGGAAGTTGCTATCGGACCGTGTTTTTAATCGGCAGCCACAGTACAGAACAAGAATATCGGCCAACTACAGTTCGAGGATTAACTCACAAAATTTTAAATCGACTTTGCCAATCAGCAATGGAACTTTTCAGGGTGTCCTTTTTATGTAAATATTAAATGAATGTTCAAAATGTTTAGTGTAATTAATATGTAAGAAATTTAGTTGAATATTTAATTACGTTTAAACGTAACGTAAGGAGGACAAACATAACAATGTCAAGTACTTACTCAACAATGTGGACAAACATAACGTGAGGAAAAAACATAACAATACAAGTACTTACTGAAAAATGTGGACAAACATAACGTGTGGACAATCATAACAATGTCAAGTACTTACTGAACAATGAGGACAAACGTAACCACTCATATTCTCAACTATTCCGACAACGGGTATCCCAGTCTTGTGACAGAAAGTTAGCTCTCGCCTCACATCACCAACAGCAACAGCCTAAATGGAAAAGAACCATTACATTGAAGTTACTTTATGAGAAAAAAAGGTCAAAGGTTATGGCAAGACTTGGATGAACTGGGGAATACTTTGGTTAACTAGACTGGGATGAACTGGGGAATACTTTGGTTAACTAGACTGGGATGAACTGGGGAATACTTTGGTTAACTAGACTGGGATGAACTGGGGAATACTTTGGTTAACTAGACTGGGATGAACTGGGGAATCTTCTTCTTCTATATCTTAAGGGCCCACGATCAATTTATTGATCATTTTGGCTCCTATGCATGTAGATGGGATTTGCAATGTTTCTGTTACTGGTGGTGATGAGGAAATTATGCACTAGGGGTTTGAAGGCTTGAGGCAATAGACACAAATTACTGGTGGTGATGAGGAAATTATGCACTAGGGGTTTGAAGGCTTGAGGCAATAGACACAAATGTGTCTAGTGTTGTCGCCTCAACTGTTCCTTTTGAAAGATGGTTCCAGTCCCTGATTGTCTTGGGCAGGAATGAGCAGCTCCTATACTGGCTTCTTGCTGGTATGAGCCTGAATTGTCTGTCATGGCCTCGTCGCTGTCTATGGGGGAGAGGGACGAGTTTCTGTTTAATACTGGAACAGTGGACCAGCCCATTATTTATCTTGTACATCATGGAATACTTTGGTTAACTAGACTGGGATGAACTGGGGAATACTTTGGTTAACTAGACTGGGATGAACTGGGGAATACTTTGGTTAGCTAGACTGGGATGAACTGGGGAATACTTTGGTTAGCTAGACTGGGATGAACTGGGGAATACTTTGGTTAACTAGACTGGGATGAACTGGGGAATACTTTGGTTAACTAGACTGGGATGAACTGGGGAATACTTTGGTTAACTAGACTGGGATGAACTGGGGAATACTTTGGTTAACTAGACTGGGATGAACTGGGGAATACTTTGGTTAACTAGACTGGGATGAACTGGGGAATACTTTGGTTAACTAGACTGGGATGAACTGGGGAATACTTTGGTTAACTAGACTGGGATGAACTGGGGAATCATTCTGTTTTACTTCCTTTACTTTAGTGTCCCTTCTTTTTTGTTGTTGTCGTGACAAGACTCGTCAATGACAGTCACATAGGGAGTCAAATAAAGGGGAAAGAACAAAATTCAGTTAACGAGGCGCACATACAATATTATGTCCTGTTTTACTTGCTTTGCGACACGAATGGATACTTCTTGAGTTGTCTACTGTGCTCTATTCTTTGTTATATTTTCATTTCTACTGTTGGCTGAGGAAGGCTTTATGCCAAAACGTCCTTGTTTTTTTGTCCTGTTATCTTATTCAAGCTTCACACATACCTCATTTTGCTTTTTCATTCATTTACTAAACTTGAAAGCAGTCCTTTCATTTATATTTTGCTTTAGGGGTGGCGTACCTTATGGAGGGATAGTGCTTTAGGGGTGGCGTACATTATGGAGGGGTAGTTGTTAAGGGGTGGCGTACCCTATGGAGGGGTAGTGGTTCAGGGGTGGTGTTTGGGGTACTTAATGGAGGTTTAGTGGTTTAGGGTCACTCCTCTTTTTTTGAAAGGTTATCATTGTATCCCCTTAATGGGTCTCAGATTATTATTGAAATCCAAAAAAACCAATCAGAGATAGCCATACGAACAGTTAACTCATTCCCGACGGTTGCGACTAAATGCGTCCTTGGGGGGTTCCTCCTGATGCGTCCAAATGCGTCCCGGCGCATAGCGACACACCTCTCTTATTTTTAGTTAAAAATAGCAATGAAATCTCGCACCCCTCGAGACTTCCGGCTATGGCGTGATTTCTGCTTGATTTTAATTTAGAAACCAGAAGTTTTTATCTTGTTTCACTTTAAAACTACGTGTGCTTTAGTACGGCACGTCTATATGTACCATGTGTTCGTCAGAGGTGCCGAAAATCAATTTTTTTGGCCATTTTTCGTTATTTTTCCCCCGCTAATGTTATAGTTATATTTATATTAAACCTTATTCATTTTTTGTTGCATTTGTTCTTAATTCATTAACATTAAATAATATTTAGCAACTTTAAAAAATATTTTAAAAATATAAATCAATTTCAAAACTGAGTTGCTTCCCTTTTCTCAGGAAAATAAATTAAGTCCGGAAGCAGCGCTGCCGGAGGGAATGAGTTAAATTGAGGGGACGAAATATTAAAGAAATTCAACAACACTTTCACTTTATGTAAAGTACCTGAGGTATTGTGTAAAGTACCTGAGGTGCTGTGTAAAGTACCTGAGGTATTGTGTAAAGTACCTGACGTGCTGTGTAAAGTACCTGAGATGTTGTGTAAAGTACCTGAGATGTTGTGTAAAGTACCTGAGGTATTGTGTAAAGTACCTGAGGTGTTGTGACAAGTATGGCACCATCTGGGTTGTACGCTCTTAACGCTTCCATTACTGTGATATGTTCATCTGATGTTCCTGGAGGTGTGTCAATGATCAGATAGTCCACATCTTGCCAGTAAACATCACTTAAAAACTGCTTGATCATTGCTGTACACAGACACAGAAAAGTTTATTCAAATGCACAAATGTTTTTATATATAAAAATGAATTTATATGTAAAAATGTATTTATATTTAAAATGTATTTATATGTAATAGAATGGCTATTAACATGGACTGTGTCAGTACAATAAAAAAAAAAGGATAATTGATGAAACTGAAATGCTGTCAACTGACCGTTCTTTTTTGGTCCCCTCCAAACAACAGCGTCATCCAAGTCATGTAGCAGAAAACCTATTGACATCACACCTATTCTTTGCTCTTTATCAACATACACTGGCAACCATCTGAAGAATACAAAATACAGTTAATATAGGCATAATTACAAGTAGCACAATTAAACATTAATCTGTATACAGTGTGTTGTCAAGACCTAAATTCAATTCAAATAAGTGTGTTACCAAGACCTATGGTCATTTCATCATTAGCCTGTATAACGTGTGTTGGCAAGCCCTAAGGTCAATTCATCATTAGTCTGTATAAAGTGTGTTTGCTCGTGTGCAAAAGGAGGAAGGTGGGTGTTAGGCCAGCTACCTCATCGGTGAAAATAATTTGCTATATAAATGCCAACAAAAAGAATTTTTTTAAAAAACTCAGCCTTGATAAGAGTTGGCTCGTCTTCCCCAAGCCAAGCCAGATGATACTAGAAGCCTTCATGTTGAGGACACTCCTTTAGGCAATAAGCATAGGTTCCTAGAATGTTGGACAGGAAAACCAGCATGGAAATGAGAACATACAAGCTCCCCCTGGTTGGTATTTGTGAAACAAGATGGATACAAGCTGTACATTTGCCTCAGGAGACACACTAATATCCTCAGGGCACAAGGAGGAAAATGTTCCACACCCACAAGGAGTTCTCTTCATGATGTCACAAATAGCACAAGGGGCATTTCTAGGATGGGAGACCGATGGTCCAAGAAATTAATACAGCAACATTCCAAACGATTAATCAGAGCGAAACATTCACTGAACACTGACTTCACATCTGACAACCCCATAAACAATTACACCCGAAACAATAGCAAATGCTTCACTGTGCCTCGGTGTAACACAGTGCAGTATAACAATCACTCTTCCCACAAACAATAATTGCTTGGAGCCGCCTGGACAATGCCGCCATGGACTCGAAATCGGACATAAGCCTCAAGACTGCACTGGCATCTGCTAGGAGATGTTAGAATAGCAACATCGCTTCCCCAACCATTGCACATATGCCAGTATATGGATGCAGCAACGAACACTACCAGAACCAGAAGAACCAAGAAGAAGAAAATAAATATGTATGTAATACAGGGCTATGCACCCACCCACGATAGTAAGGAAGAAGAAAAAAAAGTATATTTCTTGAATAGACTACAAAAACAATACTAGAAAAAATTTACTGGTAGAGATCTTAATATCATAATGGGAGATCTAAATGCTATAATTGGGAACGAAAAATAAAGGATACGAAAAAATGATAAAAACGCTATGGTTTAGGAGAGATTAATCAGACAGAAACTATTTGTGTCAATATAGCAATATATGTTAAACTTTAATAATAATTTTACATAATACACAAGTAAACGTTTCGGCACATGCCTTCATCAGTATAACAATAAAACATTTAAATAAGTATAAATTAAACCTACATAATAAATGTATACATATATCCTACCAAAAAAAGAGAAAAAATGAGAGTGGGTGCAAAAACCAGACAGAAACAAAGTAAAGAAGAAAGAATCCTAACCTGATTGCAGTCTCTCCCTCTTATTACCATTGAAAGGAAAGCACAGGGCCAAGTTGATGAATACAAAATGGTTGTAAATAGCCTTAGATGGCCTATGCCCCAAGCAGGGCAAAAGGCATATTCTCTCTAATCTAGTAAAAAATGATCTTTGAGAATTACTCTGAATTTCAGAGTAAACATTTTATTTCATTCAAATTTTGCAATGAAGCCATGAGAGAGAGCTTGTCAGGGCTGACAATTTTTCCCAACAGTATCAAACTAGAGTATTTATTCATTGTGTTTCATGAGAAAAAATATTGTGAGTGTCTCAAAATTGGACTTGATATTTCAATTGTGAAGAAGTGGCTGTAACAGTTTGTAACAATTTTAGTGAAAACATCATCACTGTGAGTGTAAGTCGCAGGATGAATAAACATTAACAGTTAATAATTTAGTTATACATCATCACTGTGAGTTCAAACTCACAAATTTAGTTATACATCATCACTGTGAGTTCAAACTCACAAATTTAGTTATACATCATCACTGTGAGTTCAAACTCACAAATTTAGTTATACATCATCACTGTGAGTTCAAACTCACAAATTTAGTTATACATCATCACTGTGAGTTCAAACTCACAGTCACAGGATTAACAGTAATAGTTTCACTGCAGTAAATAATATAAAAATAATTAAGGCTTTATTCATACTAATAGTAAGTAACATGGTCTCCATACCCTTCTGGACATTGGTGTATGTCACGTCCCTCAAGATTAAACATTTTGGGAATACTAGGTCCACATAGGTCAACATCCAAAAGACCAACCTTTGGATTCAAGAAAAAAATTATTTTTAAAGCATACAAATTATGAAACAATTTATTTAAAGTAAAAAAAGATAATTAAGTTGTTAATTATTTATAGATGATTATTTACTTAATCTGTATGATGCACATTTATGTGGGGGGGGGGGCAACCAATTTGTGACAATGATTTATGAGAGTGTCTAAAATAAAGTGACATCATTTATGGATGGCCCCTTCTATTGCTAGTTTTAATTGTATTTTAGAAATTTAGGACTGAACTGAAATGTACCTTTTTTCCTGCAGCATGGAGGCCCATGGTTATCTGCACTGCCATTGTGCTTTTTCCAACACCCCCTTTCCCAGAAAGAACAATTATGACATGCTTCACTGAGGACAGATGATTCATTCTTCCAGAATGATGAAAAGCTTCGCTAGTTTAAGGGAATATTTATACTGAAATAAAAGACATTTTAAATCACGGTAACATATCATTCTTATTATTACTTTGGCAACAACTGAAGATTTAGAAAAGCCAAAAAACTTCAATGAAAAGACATTCAAAAGCTAATTATGTCTAATGACATGAAATTAACAATTAGAACAGTGGTTCTTAAACTTTTTCTGGTCATTGGCCAACTACACCATAAAAAGCTCTGTATACCCATCCCCCACTCATAAACATTTTAAAATAAAACTCATAAAAGTATTTTGCATTACCTACTGAGGAAAAAAATAACACAATAGCTATTAAAAGTATAGTTTAAATGTTACCAAAATACAAATGCAACTTTTTACTTGTCATAATAAATTTAATTAAATAGTAATTAAAATAAAATTATTTATTTTATTTTCACCCAGCTTTTTAATTAAATTAGGATAATTATTGAGCAAAAGCTTCACAAAAGCTCCTTAGTTATATAGTTAATAAAAGGAGAGACAGCAATCAGGTTAGGTCAAAGGAAATGAGTGAAACAAAGTACATTATATTTCTAAGATACTACACTGCAGCTAAGACTTAGTTAGACTAAGTGTTTATTTTTATTTTTTTTATTGTTTTGCCCGTTGTTAGTTTGCTGAAGAAGGTTTCTTGCTGACACGTAAGTTGATTTTAAGCATCTCTGTTTTTTCAGGTTTTCCTACATTTTGTTTTGCTAAGATTGAACTTCTAGTAACTTCTACACTTACTCAGCTCAATTTCATATTGCGATCGATCATAATAGATGACATGGTGCATTGAATTAAAGAAAGTATCTATTGGTAGTTTACTACCAAGCTATTTGTAGTCCAGCCAATCAAAGGAAACCAAAAGGGGAACTTTAAAACCCGATTTCAATCATGCTAGCAAAGTAACGCCCCATTCATTTATTACTAGTTCATATTAGTGACAACACCTCGGCTCGATAAGGAATCCTGAAATAATTTTAGCTTGCAATTGCTGTTTTGATACTTTCAAAGATTTGAAAAATGTTATAAAAGCTTTAGAAGAGTTTCAAAATGCTGTCTTTATAAAGAGCTAAAGAATTATAATTTATGATATAGACCTAATATAGATTGATTTCTGATACCGTGGGAAAGGGGATCATAGTCTAAATAATTATACCCAGGTTCTATTTTGCCATAGTAATATGTGAACGTCTGAAAAATAAAATCCAGCTGAGGCTGAGAAATAATTTATTGTAAATATTTTATGTGCGCTAATTATCATGTTTAAAATTATTAATTAAAATATAGGCCTGTATATGTCTATAATTACGAGAATAATAATTGTTTTACTGCATACAAAGTGTGCATATTAAAAAACATATTGTTACTTCAGTTAAATGAAACTGACTCTATGAGGCTTAAACTTAAAGATGACAGCAACCAAACTCTGTTTAGTAGTGTTTAGGAACATGGTCAAGTGACTCCCCACCCCACCCACCCACAATTGATTTTTTACTGGTGGCAGATAGGCCTACTGAGTATTATTTACACACTTGAGTGAGGACCCGTTAACTTATAAAGACATTGATATTTTTATGTACAATTAAAAAATTCCATTTTGGTAAATTGTTCATCTATAATATTAGTTTAACATCTAAGAATCGCTATTACTATTTATTTTTTAATGCTATGCGGAATAATTTTTTTTAAAGGCACAGTATCCAATGAAAATATAAGTCGCAATAAATAAAATATAGTCTATGCAAAAAAATAATTGTATTATGTAATGAAAAAACCGATTTGGAGTAAATTTATGAGACGAGACACAAAAAATACATTTTGAAGTACACCATGACCAGACAACTATCTAAAACTAAAATGTCAGCACATTTTTTGGCAACATATTGTATTAATGACACAATAAGTTGGAATTTCACATACTCATACCCCTACTTAATCTGAAACTTAAAGAGTGATTTAAGTTTAAGAGATGTAATTAAGAAAATAGTGACTACCTATTATACTAAGTCAATACTGCACTACATCACTCTATCACCAATTACTGAATTTGTAGTTTTTGATAGTAAACTACCAATAGCTACCTCGAAGCTACAGGCAGTAAAGTACCAACAGCTCCGTAGGGGTAATAAGGGGAGAGACTGCAATCAGGTTAGTGCAAAATAAAATGAGTTTTTTCTGTTGTTTTGTTCGCTGACGAAGGCTTTCTGCCGACACGTTCGCTGTTTTGTTGCGTTTATTTTTTCAGGTTTAACCCTACTCTGTTTTACTCAACAGCTCCGTAGAAGTATTTTACTACTATACTACCAATAGCTGTAGCCGAATTAAAAGATATGCCTATATTATTGTCTCTATACTTAGGCGGCAGCCTATTCTTACTACTCTATACTATATTATAATAAAGTGGTTCTTGCACTATGCACTGCTCTTTTTTAAAACAAAGTGGCTATTCGGACCCGGGTCTGAGAAGTGAGAGGTTGGGATTAAAATAAAAAAAAAAATTATTGTTTGGTTGTAAGACAAAATTTGGTATCAAATGAAAGATAATTGAATGGACTATTATAGTCACTATATGTTTGTAAACTTACTTCTTCAGTTTAACTAAAATAAACTACCACAAATGACATCCGAATAGCATTGAGTCTAAAGGGATCCGGGTCGGGATAGCGGGTCTGCGTGTCCGGGTCCATTTTGACTAAATGCTATTTGGATGTCATTTGCTGTAGTTTATTTTAGTTAAAGTTAAACTGAAGAAGTAAGTTTAGTAGGTTTACAAAAATATAGTCCATTCAATTATCTTTCATTTGATACCTAATTTTGTCTTACAAACCCTACAATAATTTTAAAATATTTTTTAATGAACCCAAACTCCACTTCTCGCCCCGGTAATGAATAGCCGCAGCCTTTTTAAAATCACACTTTTTAAAGTTTTTTTTAGACTTAACTAAACTAACTTTACTTAGTGATAGTGAAGTTAGTGTTCAGTGTTACTTACTTACTGAAACTTAGTGATAGTGCTCTTAGTCTTAGACTACATAGGCCTACATACTACATTAAATTAAGAGTAAGATTAAGAAGAGTATGAGTCTTGGACTGCAAATGGTTTCTTACTAATTACTAAGTTATTCTAAGCATTAGCCTACCTAGGTGAACGTGTTTACCTCTACAGACGTTGTTTACCTCTACGAGGATCACGCTTCCTATCAAAATCCGTGATCCAAGCCAAAGTACTAAGACAGACTCTCACACTCGAATAGAATAGATGACTTGAGTCATGAGATTGTTTCTAATTTTTAGCTAACACATTTTCAGTAGGCTTCGGTCTTTTAATTTAGATCCAATACGTTATTAAGCCTAATTAATATTAATAACAATAATTTTGCGAATTTATGAAAATGACGTAGAGTTTGATCAAGATTTTATTTTTAACTCTAAACATTTTTAAAAGTTCAAATGTACACGACAAGGGAACCCTCGGAGATATAAAACAAGCAATTTAAAAGGCCATTATATTTACCAAAATCCAACATCAAACCGAGATGTATATAAGTGAAAATTTGTGGCTTTGTTTGTTTGTTTGTTCTACAAAGGCCTTTAAATAAATTTATGGATCTTGACCAAACTTGGCACATATGTCATATGTCTATCATTTTCCAGAATCAAATACTGTGTTGGGGTTGGGGGGGGGGTATGAACATTTTATAACATTTCATTTGGGGTAGAAACTCGTTTTTTTCCCTTTCTATATGAGTTATTTAAATAAAATGACCAAAAAATAGTAGGCTAAATACACCTACATGAAAAGATGACCAAACTTAGCACACATACAGTTGATTACCCATTCAACTACTGAGGAGTACTGAACTCATAATATCCATTCCTCTAGGGCCGGGGGCCCCATTTCATTTTTTTCTTGTATAAGCTATATAAATATCAATGAGCTTAGAAAACACTATAGGTTATATGTGAATTGATGGATCTAGGCCTAGCTTGGTATCATTATCCTTCATTGTTCGTATAGAAATCTCGGCAATCCTCGGTTCCAAATTATTTCCAATGATTACTCTTTGCTTAAAAGTCTAAGGCATGATTTTGTTTTGAAATTCATGTTTGCGCATATTTTAATAAATTTGTTAAATTATGGCAGGTAGACCAGCCGCACCGATAAGCATTAGTTTGGTTATTTTGCCGGCTGCACAACTGGGCGGAATTGAAGTAACTCCGTTTGAGTTGCACTCTGCAATGTCAAACAAACGTGAATGGTTAGAGTAGCTGGCCCGACACTGCTTTATGAGAAACAACGTTAATTGTGGAACATGCAGGCGCCCGATGGCGTTAGTCGCTCCTGCAGAATGCAACGACGTTTTTCGTGACGTTGTCGCCCACGCGCCCCCGCCTCAGTGTTAGAACTGGGTCATNGTAGGGGGGGTTCAGATTTTCGGGGGGGGGGTGTCAGTGGCAGCAAGAGGCGTAGCTAATGAAGGAAAGTGTGTGGGGGGGGGCAGATATCCATTTGAATCATACTAGCGGGACGCCAAAATGGGGTGTGATGGTTTTTAATGTATCAAAATAAAGGTTTTTAGAGTTGAGGGGGACAATGAATCAATGTCCCCTGGCAGCAAACACTCTAGCTATGCCTCTGCGAGTGAGGAGGCGGATTGGGTGGTCAGCCCAGATGTCAATTTTTCTTTATATGCATGGAGGGGAAGGATTTTATGACAAATGCAGAGTTTATATCGTTAATTATAACTTGGCATAAGTCTTGGCAATTCTATGGTAGTACTAACACTGGCTACTCCACTAGGTAGTGTATCTGTCAACACTAACACTAGATACTCCACTAGGTTGTGTATCTATGAGGACTAACACTAGCTACTTCTCTAGGTTATGTATCTTTCAGCACTAACACTAGCTATTTCACTAGGTTGTGTATCTATTAGCACTAACACTAGCTACTCCACTAGGTAGTGAATATATCATCAACAAAAATTATGACAGCGCTAGCTGTACTTTCATTTTTTAAGGGAAGAAGGGCAGAATTTGAGGGTACTGTTGGCTCTTGAATAAAAGCAGAGGGGTGGGGAGCCCTCTCCAGCAAATTTTTGAATATTTCAAAATCAAAATGTGCATTTTGGAGTCTACCTGAATTCAATGTTTTTTTTTAGACTATAGCATCTGGTGAAGGAATTTTTCAATCGTCAGAGGGAGACATCATGGCATTCAGTGCCATGCATAAACTGAATTCACTCAGGTTGTGGCGAACCCCAAGGTAATCATTTGGCAAAAGCTTATATTCAACCCTCTACTGTAACATTCATCAGCGTGGGGGAAGGGATGTAGAATTTGAGTGTGATGAAGACAGTCGCACATATTCAAAATACAGGGGTGCACTTTGGCGCATACTTGAAATTTTTTTTTTTTCAGGCAATTTTAAAAGGGGGTGGGGAGCGGGATTTGAGACTTTCCTGTGGGAAGCGCTAAACTTAGCCATAATTAGGAATATCTCTTACTTGCTTCAGCCCAACGTGAACTAAATACATTCCAATTGAGGCATCCTAGCGGGTATGCATTTTCCCTAGCTTAATATCGTCTATTACATCTTTATGGTCCCCAGTATATTTTTGATACATTAAAAATAAAGTAATTCATTTTAGCAAATACTTCAAATTAAGTTTTGCAACATTCTACACTTGGAGGTCATCTACATAGTTATAACTTTTAAAAAAGTCTTCATTACAAAAAAAAAAAAAAAAAAAAAAAAAAAAAAAAAAAAAAAAAAAAAAAAAAAA